TAATAATAAAATAAATAATAAAATACAATATCGGAATAATAAACTAATAAAATAATAAACTGTTCTATAACAGTATCATAATAACTTTCTTCAATACTAGAGTTTTCTTCATATTCTAGATAAAAGATTTTAACTTTATCATCTAGAGTAATAGGGTCTCCTGCTAGAGCCGCTTCTAGATCTTCTTGCTTAGTTAGTAAATCAATCAGGTTAACTTCTGTTTCTTCATATTAAAGGTAGTCTTTTTTATATATTCTAAATAAAGAATTAGCATTATTATGCTTTTTTTTGCTCTATGGATTATAGTAAAGTTATAAAGTTCAAGTTGCATAATCTATCTTGCTCTTTTTTTCTATTAGTTTGGTAGTTCTTAACTATTTCAAGGCAGTATGGTCAGTTATTAGATAGAAGTAGTTTTTTTCTATATACTGGTAAAAATATTAAACTACCTATACAACAGCAAGATATTCTAATTCTGTAGCAGAGTAGTTTTGTTTTGCTCTTGAAAGGTTTCTGCTAGCATATACAATTACATGCTCTTTTTTATTTTTATCAAATTGTCTAATACGGCTCCAAGACCAGTATAGATATAGAATAGTTTGTTAAAGTTGAGATATTGTAAGATTGGTGCAGTAATAAGGTATTCTTTTAAGATTTGGAAAGCTTTTTCTTGTTTTTCTCCTCAATAGAATGGTTGGTCTTTTTGTAGAAGAGTATTTAAAGGTTTGGCAATTTTAAAAAATTCTTTTATAAATTTTTTGTAGTATGAGGCTAGTTCAAGGAAACCTCTAATTTGACGAACAGTAGTAGGTGTTGGAAAGTTTTTAACTTTTTCAATCTTCATCAGGTTTTACTTTATTTTTTTCTATAATATGTCTTAGAAATTTAAGGTCATTTAAAAAGAAAGAACATTTTTTAATATTTAATTTGAGGTTAGCTTCTGCATGCTTATCAAAAACTAATTGTAAGTAAGAACAATGTTCTTTGAATATTTTTGAGTAAATAGTAATATTATCTAAATATACAGCTAAGAACTTATTAATAAAGGAACGTAAAATTTTATCTATTAGATGTTGAAAGATAGCTGGTACATTGCACAAACCAAAAAGCATAATATTAAACTTATATGTTCTATGCTGAGTAATAAATGCTGTTTTCTTTTTATCCTTTTCTTGTACAGCAACTTGCCAATATCCACAGGCCAGATCCAAGCTTGTAAACTATAGAGCTTCTTTGAAAACAGATAGGATTTATTAATATCAAGAAGAGGATATATATTTTTTGTTATTACTGCATTTAACATTCAGTAGTCAATACAGATTCGACATTTTCTATTCTTTTTAAATATAATAACTACTGGTAGACCATGGGCTGTTTGATTCTTGAATAATTTTACATTTTTTTATTTCTTTAATTTCTTTTTTCAAGAACTCTAAATCATCTAATGATGCTCTGTAGGCTTGTTGTTTAATTGGTTTAGCACCAGGAGTATTAATTCCATGATAAACTTCTTTGGTTTGTTCTAGTTCTAAGGTTTGTCCTTTTTCGGAAATATTTTTAGCAAAAATTTGGTGGTTGTTTAGAAGAATTTCTTTAGCTTTTTCTTTTTGTTGTCTATTCAAAGAAGTATTAATAGTTAAAAGAGGAGTTGTAGAAATTTCAGCAGTTAAAGCAATATATACTGCAGAGTTGTTGTTGGTAACAACATCAGTTCAAGGGTTGTAGAATAAGAGGTCTTCATCTTGATCCCCTTCTTCAGTATGGTAAGTTTCTGCTTTATCTTGTTCTTTGATTTTATCAATTCATTTATCTTTATCCATAAATTCTTCAAATTCATCAGGTATTGGTTCTCTACTAATATAGGTTGTATAAATAGTAGCTCTTTTTCTCAAATATTTAATCTTTAGTGTATGGTTGTCAAAGTCTAAAGTGGCTCTGGATTTTGTAAACCAATCTGTTTCTAATAAAAGAGTTTCATCTTTAGACTTGATTACTTCCAAGTCAATAAGAATTGCAATATTTTGGAATGCAATATTTATGTCACTAATTGAGCCTAGAGCTTTTTCTTTAGCTGTATTGGCAGTTACTACAATTTTCCTTTTTATTGTCTGGGCAGGGTTTTTATATTGGTTAGGATATTGCAATAGTTGTCTGTAAATAGCTTGAGCAGGTCGATTTAGTAATTTTTTGCAATATTATAGGGTTTAAGTTGGTTAATTATAGAAGATAATTTCTTTGCTAGGCTTTTCTTTGCTTTAGTTGCTTTGATGTTGGCTTGGAAAGTTCAATAGGTTCAGCTTCTATTTCTTCAGGTTAGATATTAGGTTCAATATAGATGGTCCTATTTCTTCATTTCTTTTTGAGATTCAGATTGTTTCTGGGCTTCTTTTTGAACTTTTCAGTTTGTTCTATATGGTTGAGATCTGGATACTCTTGTAATATAAACTTCTTCTTCTTCAGTTGAGTAGTTTTCCT